TAGATAGATAGATAGATAGATAGATAGATAGATAGATAGATAGATAGATAGATAGGGAGGGAGGGGAGGGGGGAGGTGAGCAGGAGAACAGAAACACAGAGAGAAGAAAAGAGTAGATAAGCAGAGAGTTTCTGCACTAAAAGTGTAACAGAAGACGAAGTGTTCGTTCCCGTTGCACACGAGCCAATGCGCACTTCTTCGAGATGCAATGCAAGATAAAGTTTGTTTGTTTGTTTTGTGTGGTTGACATTGTCGATGACTCCAGTGGACAAAAAGAAACAACACTGTCTAAATTGTCACAAAAACAGAAATGTTCATAAATCATGGTTTAATTTAATACAATTATGAAGTACCCAAGTTTAAAACTAAGACTTGTCGAAATCATTAAAAATGTGGTGCTCTACCGTTTTTGTTTTTTCTCTGCATTTTTCTATTATTGTTGTAATTGACTCTTTCAGGCCGGAGTTAACACATTATAGTGACTTCGCACAGACCAGATGCAGTTTTGAGGGAACATTTCGAACCACCACATATAAATCAGAAAGCCGAATTTGTTAATTTCAAAGTAGGGCAAATCAGAAAGTCGAATAGATCTATGCCTAAATTTCAAAGAGGGCAAATCAGAATTAAAGTGGAAAATATGTAAATTTCAAAGTAAGGCTTATATAATAGTTCATTTTATCGCCTTCCATGTTAAGATACAGAAAGTAGGTCTGAAACAAATAGTTTGAGCAACTAAGTTAGGGGGGGGTGGTTGTTAGTTTTGTTTTGTTATTTTTGCAATGTATTTAAAGGGCTTATCATTCTCAAAACCCAAAACATAAGGAATTGTGGAATGAGTAGATCGCGGACCAAAGAGGAGAGAATGAATGACCAAGTTCCCAGAGGCTCAGCACCATGGTCCCGATAACCAAAGGATAAGACATCACGGCGATCCCGCATGCAGCCTATAATATAAGCGGCCCCAACCAACGATAACTCCGTACCAGGGCTGCCAGTTTTTTTTCTGGTGTGGGGCCAACAATATCACAATTTGGGGCCAAACTTGATTTTTTGGGGCCAAAC